AATTTCATAATTATGCAAGTGAAGATCACCAACAATGCATGATTCTATGGTGATGGATACGCCACTTAAATTACAATGCTTGCATCACAGGTTTTAATTGACTCAGTCTTGAAAGTGAAGATGCATATTTAAAGAACAGACTTTAGTGAGAAATATAGGGCAGCATTTTGGTAGTTGTGTAAATTGTGATAAAGGTGTCTTAAGACGAAAAGGATGCAGGGTTGTAAGCCTGTAGTGAATTACTACTTTCGATTTGTCACTTGTGGTTTCAGGAATCAGATGCTGACAACATTAGAATTTGGAGAGAAAGTATTATGGCTGTAGCTTACGTAGTTATTAGTACTTCTTATCATGGTTATGCATCACGCATCTAATAGACTTTGCCTTTCACATTTCTGTTGAAATCCTATAACTGTAGCTCAGTTTAGCAAAGCGTATATTTCTGGCTTGGCGTGCATCACTTCCTGTTCAGAGCCTTCTGACACTAGATTGATATAAACGTTTGAAAAATGTTAGGGAATATATTACATATATGGGTGGTGTTATTTCAGAACCAAGTTGTATGATTGCATATTGATTTAGAAAATGACGTGTATTTCGTGCAAGCGTTTTTCGTGATTTGCACGTGTTGCTGTACATTTCAGTGATAAAAAACAGACTGAAACTTTGTTTGAAACTCAGTTAAACGTTTTTTCACATGCGGCGTCTGTTACCTCAAGAACTCAAAATAACATGTCGGAAGTTGAAACAAAACAGGAGCATTGTGGTCCCTTCGTGGGCTCTTCACAGTCTGTAATTAGCAGTCTACATTCACGATACTGACAGAAATATGATGACAGACCAGAGGCAACAATATTAATTTGCTCCCAAGACCGTTTCATCGTAACGAGTGTGTTAAGAAACTGTTGTCAAAGTGCTTCTCAAAGCTACAGTGAGTGAGTGAGTGATGAGTTCAGTTTTACGCCGCTTTTAGAAATATTCTAGCAATATCATGGCGGGGGAGTCCAGAAATAGGCTTCACACATTGTACCCATGTGGGGAATCGAACCCGGATCTTCGGCGTGACGAGCGAACGCTTTGACCACTAGGCTACCCCACTGCCCCTCAAAGCTACAAAGCTAAACGTGTGAGTGAGTGAATCGGCTACCAGTTGGAATGCAAATCTCACTCAGATGTCACTTTTCACTTTTAAAAATATTTATCTCATAAAAGGTATTTATATTTATAGCTGTTACTCCTGTTGGTATAGGCTTAACGTATGTTATATTTGGGATGACACTTCCTCAGTTAAGTGTAGTTTTCAGTACGTTTTAGATTGTGTCTCATAAGGGATTCGAACCCAGTCTCTCAAAGCTTGGCATTTAATCGCCAGCATAATGTCATCTGTCAGTGATCTTATCCACACTCAGCCACCGACTTAAGTGAGAAGGTGTAATCCCAAATATGACACAGTTATATAAGGCCACTTTCTCCATTTGTTTTGTTCAATGAATTTCGTTTTCTGGGTTCTGGTGATACATTTTCTGATAGTTAATAAACGACGTATGTGTGACCTATGGAATGTTGTTGACACGAGTTATGAAAGCAAAAACGCAACCGAGAACTGATAACAGATCGTTGAAACACAGCAGCGAGGACATGTGCCTCTCACGTTGTCCATTAAGTTTCATCAAAATGAGGCAATAGCTCCGTTGTCTTTAACTCAACGGTTGGCATGAACAGGGTTCTGTCTAGCTGACACATGGTGTGATCAGTGCCAATTGGGGTAGATAGCTGTCGAGATTAATTTTTAATCCCATTTTGTAACTTTAAATTCAATATGGCTGCCAATCGACACCGTTTATCAAAATGCCGACTTTTGGTAGTCACCGGGGTAAAGGATTTTAAGATAGTTGTTGATTCAACATTAACTTTAATTTTTTTCATGAAGATTTGAATAATTTTGCACGTTAGTTCATAAGCATTTGAGCCAATATCACGCTTAATAGAATGTGCACAAGATAACACCTGCAGATCCTGGTGTTATATAGTGGAAAACTCAACATTCTTTGCAGAGGAAAGTCGGTTGTACACGACAACAAGCTGGAAAAGTACATCGAACTATTAACTGTCTACAGTTGCATTTTCCATTCTTGCAAAAGGGCGGAAAGACATCCCAGTTGCAATACCCGAGCTGTGATAACTGTCATAGACCCATCCCCACTGTGAAACAGCTGCAATCATCTGTCACACTGCGCGGAACTTACAGTCCATGTGTGTAAAATCTCTACCTACATCACATACAAAGAATGTAGCAATGCTATGGTAGCAGCTGCTGAAACAACCATCTGGTGATGTATCTAACACCTGCTCTAACCGTATAACTTCACAACTAAATTAATATTAGTCATAGTCGATCTTCGGCGATTCAGTCAACAGTTGATAGGGATAGAAAGACGGCATGGGAAAGAGATCACGATCATAACATAACTCTTCGGTGGAGTTGCGAATGCATGCAACTCCTATCAACAGTTTTCTGAAAACGTGCATAGCTTGCTATTAATACCAACGGTTGACCCACTTACAACATACCTCCCGTAATCGCACCTTGCACGTTTTTGAAAAAAAAAGTTCCAGTCATTTGAAGGAATTTTACAAAAAGAGAAGGATGACGAAATTTACTGGAATGATGGCAAATAATTCCCTCCTGAATCGAAAACAGGTTTCCACAGAGAAGCGTCTACCTGGTACTACTGGGTGTGAAGAATGCATGGAAGGGAATTGGTGGGTGAGCGACCGAGCAGGCCCCACGGCCTCCTTTCACAAAGCACTAAGGTGATCTTAAGTCACTAAGGTATCCTTAGTGCAATATTAAAGAATGGGAGTTAGGTTAGTCTTAGTAAAGGTTGCTTCGTGAAAGGAGCCCCTGAATATAATTACCCAGGAAAAAGCAATGAAAGAAATACAAATCCATATAAATAACATAATGATGTACAACGAATTCATGTATACTCATTCCAATAATGGTTGTCACCCCCTTCAATTATTTTAATTGGAGAGGGGTGTGTGGTTGGGGTGTGAGGTGGGGGTGGGGGTGGGGAGGGGAGGGAGGGGTGACAACCATTATTGGCATGATTATATATTGCGAAGTGTATTGTGACAATGAAAAAACGCAGGCTTAAATAATGTAATAGTAAGTAAGTGAGTTTTTTAAGCCGCACTCAGCAATATTCCTGCTATATGTCGGCAGTCTCACATGGAGAATCCAGTCTCACTTAGACAATCCAGTTTCACCTAGACCTTTGCGTCTCACCTAGACAATTCAGACTCACGTGGCACATGGAGTCTCACCAATGTCAGGTTTCTGTCAAAGTACATTGAAAATATACCTACTTAAAACTTACTTCAGCCTAGGGGTTGGAAACTGCCATCCGAATAGTTTTCCAGTGTACTCACATCTTGTGAAGTGAATATCAGTGAATATTAAAAAATGTTTGATATTCACTTATTAATTTTTTTTTCTTCCGAAGTGATATGTTTCATACGAATATATTTGGTCAAGAGCCTGGTGGACATTCTAAACAGCCAATCATGGTCGATGTTTCTGTATCCTCGATGTAGGTGAACGAAGTATTTATTATAATAATAATAGTCATTTATCATGCGCATTGCTCCATGCACAATGCATGCTCAAAGCGCCCAAACAATCGGATTTTTACCCGGATAACCCAAGCTGCGCTATAAGGTTATAATCACATGACTTTATTCCACCCTATAGTATCGTGAAGTCCAAGTATTGCAAGGAAGAACAAGCGTTGTATATAACTTTAACACCCCTTTAATCTTCATGGTTCAAATACACTGACTTGTAAGTCTACGTGACGGCCGCACCGCTCTCTGATCTAATGGTCGTCTGCTCGATACCGTGTAGTACGTCATACACATTAACCTATGACGTCACACATATTTGTGCTACGACACTACAATTCTCCTTACCTTTAGATAGATACTTTTCATATAATTTGGAATGTACATCAGCTTTGTATATATACTGATTATGAATTAATAAAAGTTGAAGGTAAGAGATTATTACTGCAAAAGTGCTTGGGATAGTATATATTGAATGGATATGAGTAAATGTAATAAATTGCTGTAACATTAACTGTAACAGTGGAACATCAACAATTAATTGAAAATTATTTCAACACTTTCAACTCTCAGATAGAATAGAATTAAATGTCACTTTGAGAGATTATAATTATTTCCATCTCTGAATGTCCTGGCATTTCTTGAATACACAGTTACCCTTTAGAGTCTCTGATGGATTTCACTGAATTAACTATTCTTCACTGAAAATGTAAAACTTTAAACTGGAAATTCCGATGAATGTGGTGATTTGCAACGCTTTAACTGTCCACGATAATTGATCAACAACATTATTTTAACACTAAGCAGTCCATAGGTTTTTTTTGTTTTTTTTTGTTGATCAGCAACACTTCAACAGTCCATATTTGACCACATTAGCATATTGGTCAGTCCATAACTGCTGAACACTTAGAACAGTCCACAACTGGTGAAAATTTATAACAGTCCATGTTTACTCAATATTGAGCATTAATTCAGTTCATAGTCTTTGAACCGAACAGGAAACTTCCTCTCTCTTGTTGATCTTCTCAGACATGACTTCAGTGGAATGGTCTCTTCATCATCAGTTCGTTTTGTTGCGGGCTGGATACCAGTGTCGAAGTCTACGTCGCTTTCTTCTTCGTTGATTTGATGATCTGCGTTGACTGGAATTGGCTTGAAGTGTGAAGAATTTCTGGTGATGTTATGATTATCTCGTTGCGCTGTTATCATGTTGCCCTTCCTCTCAGTGATGATATATGGCTGGGGATTATACTTTGATGTCAGCTTATTGTGTTGAGGTTGTCGTACAAGTACAGCATCTCCCTCTTCTAACGATGACGGCTTTGTATTTCTTCTGTTGTCAGCATATTCTTTCATCTTCAGCTTATTTTTCTTCATCTTTTCTTCGGAGTTGATCGTTGATCTTCTGGTTGGACGATATGTTCATTTTGAACTTCAGGTATTTGTAGCGCCATCTTCCTGCCTGTCAGGGATTCAAATGGACTTACTGTTGTCGTTGAGTGTGGAGTAGCTCTGTAGTGTCTCAGGAATTTCCATAATTCTTGTTTCCAATTTTTGCTTTCAGCTGTGGCTGTTTGAATGCATTTCTTCAAAATTCTCATGAATCTCTCGACTTCTCCATTTGCTTCAGGCCATAGAGGTGTAATTCTGCGATGATGGAAGCCTAGGTATACTGCAAAATCTGCAAATTCTTTACTGTTGAAAGGTGATCCATTGTCCGACTTCACGACCTTGGGGATACCTTGTCGTGCGAATATTGCATCAAGTTTTGGGATAACTGCTCTTGCTGACGTCGATTTTATGATTTCAACTTCAGGATATCTTGTGTAATCGTCCATGACAACTAGCATGTAGTCTCCTGATGGGAATGGACCTGTCAAATCAACTGATACATTCGTCCACGGTGCTGCTGGTAAGTTTGTCATCTTCAAAGGTTCTCGTCGTTTTGGCATGTCTGTGACAGCTTGACATGGGATGCAGCATTTCACCATCTTCTCGACCATGTCGTCTATACCAGAAACCATACCTTCTCTCGAATCAGTCTCTTGGTTTTCACGATGCCTTGATGTCCGATGTGTGCAAGTTCAACAGTTCTTCGTCTGAGTGATTCCGGAACAACAATGCGATGATCACGAAGTATGACACCGTTGTATACAGCTAGTTCTTCTCGCAGCTTGAAGAAATTGTTGAGCTCAGGGTTATTCCATCTTCCTGATTCAATAGATGATATGACTGATTGAAGTACTGCATCTTCTTTGGTTTCTTCTTGGATTTCTTTGAAGGTTAATGCTTTTGGAACTGCATTCATACACACGTAGTTGATGTAATCTTCACCTATGCTCTGCACTTTCTCTTCAGCTACAGGATGCCGACTGATGTAATCTGCTGGGTTGTTCTCATATCTCTTCCTGGTTGATATGCGAGTTCATAGTTGTAGGGAGTTAACCGGATTCTCCATCGTTCCATTCTTGCAGAAGCAGGTTTTCTACTCTTGAATATACCAAGGAGTGGCTTGTGATCGGTGATAATCTTGAAGTTTTCTCCAAATGTGTATAGATGAAAGTGTTCTGCGGCCCATACGACAGCTAACATTTCTCTTTCTGTTTGTGAGTATCTGGTTTCTGGATCCAGTAATGCACGGCTGGCATAGCTGAGAATCTTGCCTTCTTGAGTGAGTATTGCGCCAAGTCCAACAGGACTTGCATCGACGAAAAGTTCAATTTTACTTGTTTGGATCGAAATATTCCATAACTTGTGCAGAACTGAGAACTGATTTCAGTTGTTTGAAAGACTTTTCTTCTAGTTTTCCCCATCGCCATGGAGTGTCGTTGCTTGTGAGTTTTCTCAGAGGTTCTGTGATGGTTGCATAATCAGGAATATAACGTGCAACGTACTGCGCCATACCTAGGAGTGATTTGACATCACTTGCTGATGCTGGAGCTGGTGTGTTAATTATTGTCTTGATTTTCTCAGGATCGGGAGACATTCCATTCTTCCCAAACACATGCCCATAGAACTTGACTTCTGATTTTGAGAATTCGCATTTTGCCTTGTTGAGAGTAATGCCGTTGTCTCTGAGCACTTTTAGTAATTGCTTCAGTCGCTGGTCATGTTCAGCTTGATTCTTCCATAAACAAGTATGTCATCTGATATGTTTCTGCATCCGGGGACATCTTGAATGATTTCTGCAATCACATTTTGGAAAATTTCAGAGGCTGTGTTGATCAAAAGATAAACGCTTGTAGCGTCTCAATCCAACATGTGTACTAAATGTAGTCAGGTACCTGCTGTCAGGGTGTAGTTCTAGCTGGTGATAACCGGCGGTTAGGTCCATTTTGCTGTAGATAGTTGAACCGTTTAAGTCTGATATGAGATCTTCAATAGTTGGCATTATGTGTTTTTTCTCGTCGAATAGCTTGGTTTGTTTCTCTCATGTCTACACATATTCTGACACCTGATGATTTCTTCGGGACTACGACGATTGGGCTAACCCAGGGAGTTGGTCCATCAACTTTCTCGATGATGTCTAATTCTTCTAAACGTTTCAGTTCATTTTCTACATCCTTTCTCACATGAAATGGAATTCTTCGATGTGGTTGTCGAGTTGGTTGAATGTTTTCATCAACATGAAGTTTCACTTGTCTGTCTTTTTATTTTACCTATGCCACCTGTGAACAATTCTGGAAATTCATCTGTAATATCTCTTGTGTTGATATTTCTTGCAATCTTCAATATCTCAAGATCCTCTGCTGATTTGAAACTAAGTAGATTTCCTGATCTTCCTCGAACTATGTGAAATTCACATTCTGCTTGAACTTGATCATGTGTCACTGGTAAAGTCACAACACCCATGATTGGTAAAGGTTTATCTGATCCATATGCAAATAGTTTGCGTTGAGTGTTTCTGAGTGTGCCTAACACAAGTTTTCTCTCTTGAGTGTATCCCATGTTTGCTGATCCATAACGTCTACTGATGCACCTGAATCAATGATAACTGGAAATTCTTTTCCGGAAATGTCAATGTTCTTGATAGGCATTCTTCTCTGTGATGAGCCAAGTCTAGTAGTGTTGATATTAGATGAAGCGTTCATAAAATCTTCCTCATCTTGCCTTTCGTGAAATATTGGATACAGGTAGTAACTTTCTTCTGAGTCATTCATGAAATCATTTACAACTGTACTGTCTTGTTCTGTTTCAATATTCTGAACTCTTGCATGCTGATTTCTGCGTCTACATACGCTTGCAAAATGATTTCTGATACCACATGATTCACATATTTTGCCTCTTGCCGGACATCTGCCTGTATGGGGATAATTGCCTCCACAGAAATAACATTGTTTACTTGAATTGTTTGATGTATTTTGTGAGTAGGATTGTTTGCCTTCATGTCTGTATCTAGCATTCTCATGTCTTGATTTGCTTCTATGATGAGATTTATTTCTGCTACGATGTCTTGAACCACTGAATCTTTCTCTACCTCTGCCACGTGACACGTTGTTTACAAATTTTGATTCTGATTTCTCAACATTTGATGCCTGTGATTCACTGAGTTCTAGTGATTTTCCTGCATTCAGTAAGTCTCTGAGATGTAGATTTTCTCGCAATGCTTTTCTACGAAGTCTCTGTGACGTACATCCTATCACAATCTGAGCTGCAATTTCTTTATCAACATCGGTAAAATCACATGTTTTGGCAAGTTGCCTGAGCCTTGTACAATAAGTGTCTATGCTTTCTGAATCCAACTGTTTTGCCATGCGAAAATTGTGAAGTTCAAAAGCAGTATTTACGATTGGCGTGAAATACTCAGTGAGTTTTCCTTTGGCTAGATCATAATCGTCATCTTCTCCGGTATTTGAAAGTGTATCGAAAATGTCATCAACATCGGGCCCTGCATAATGTAACAAAAGTGCACGCTTGCGAATATTGTCATTAATGTCTAATGCAAGCAATAAACGTTCAAACCTGGCAATGTATTTTGTCCAACGAGGTCCAGCGTTTGAATCACTGTGCACTTCGAATCGCGGGAAGTTTGGCAAACTTGTTGACATCTTGAAAAGTTATTTCACATTGAGTTGTTTATCGTTGATTATCTTCGTGTTTCGTTGTTTATCCTCGTCGCCAGAATATAGTATCGTGAAGTCCAAGTATTGCAAGGAAGAACAAGCGTTGTATATAACTTTAACACCCTTTAATCTTCATGGTTCAAATACACTGACTTGTAAGTCTACGTGACGGCCGCACCGCTCTCTGGATCTAATGGTCGTCTGCTCGATACCGTGTAGTACGTCATACACATTAACCTATGACGTCACACATATTTGTGCTACGACACTACTCCACCGCTTGCCCATTTTCTGCTGGGTGAACAGAGGCAATTTTGAACAAACTCACTTGCCTAGGGTGTGACCACATGTATCACATGTGCTTCGTTGTGGGGCAGGACTGAAGTCCTAGAAACTCTCAGGAGTCAAGCTGGCAAACACGGTCGCAGACCCGACTCTCCGCGCCCAACGTTGCTTAACTTCATCTAATTTAGCTCTATGCACAGGACCACGTTCTAACATGTTTTCTGAATCTCAAAAAAAAAAAAAAAAGAGAAACCCCCAACCCCAACCCCACCCCCACCCCCAAAAAACACACAACAAAACAACACAACAAAAACAACCCCAAACCAAACAAAAAAAACAAATAAAAAAAAACAACAACACGCATAAGACCTTTAACGACTCATGAATCCATGGTTGACATTTAGATGAATCGGTCAACGTTTGCTCAGAGTTCACTAGAATTCTGAATTTATTTAGATTATTTGGAAATCAAGTTCGAGGGTTTAATGTATGGTGGCATCTGGTTCGGCAGTTGAACTCTCTAATTCGCTCCAGGCATGCTGTTGACATCGGACACATTCCTGGCAGTGGCAGTCATGGGAATGTATGTTAAATATCTGACAGATGAGCTTAAATCCAAAGCAGTAGTAGTCCCCATCTACCTCTCAGCGACAATCCTTTATATACCATTCATACAGTTCCAGAGAATTCCAGCAGAAGCCACGTCTCTTTACTACCATTTAGATCACATTACGACCATGTAGAAATTACTGAAATGGATTCCACAGTCTTCCGCCGGAAGCATCAACAAAGAGGAGGTAACTCTAAGTCCTCAGCTTACTCTCTTACCAGGTGAAAATTACATAGCCGGTGTTCAAGATGTGAGTTCAGGTCCACTCTCAGTGCTTTAAACTTTTGTGACCCACAATAACTAAACGTTAATTAATGTGACCAAAAACACATCCTCATAACACATGTTTGCTACAAATAGAATAGTCTGTCAACAACTACACATATTTAACAAAGCATTTTGAAAATCTCGTTGGGAAGCTGCAACATAATTTGTTTTGTAGTCCTCCTACAGAGATTGTTTACGGCGGGGAACACCAGCTGTTGGCTTCACACACTTTACCAATGTCACGTAAAAGCGTTTCTTCCTACTATGACAGGTCCTCCAGTACTGTGGACCACCGTTACCTCTGACATATTCAATATAGCAGGCAGCATACTGCCGATCGTATTAGAGCTACCTTAACCACTCCGTCCTTGCCATCTGTCACGTGTTGACACATGTCACATTTCCTTTGTTCATTATATTTATGCCTAGACGTCATTGTTCATATACTTTATGGTTGGGGATGGGGTGGTTAGCGCGGTGGGGTGGCTGTGAATGGGTAGGGGTGGGTATGTGCCAGTGATGATGAGTTTCATGCAAAATCTGAATGACAAACAACCCCCACCCCCACCGAAAACAAACAACCCCACCACAAACAACTATGGTTACACTGAATTCCAATCCCTTGTTTCATACGAAAATGGTATTTACAAGTTAATTTTAATTGTAAACTTTAATAACATCGTATTTATATATGTTATGGTGTTCCTTGCGCTTATTAAGTGTAGTTTTGTAACGTACAATGTTATTGATATAATATCAAGTCAGTACCAGATCGCCAAACTTTTCTAGCGGCAGAGCCTTTTTTTGAGATTTCCACGATTTCCAGATTTCCGTTTGTCAGAGCACGCTATACGACAGGGCCCGCTGCACGACGTGTTTGCAAGGATTAGAAGGAGCGTAGTGTTGCAATACACAAGTGCTTAGATGTATCAAATAATACTGATAAATATTTATGTATCCTGTTGAATGAATTGGTATCAATATTATGGACTAGTTATTGTACTAATATGCGCACTAGGACGGACCCCAGTCAGCAGGAAACGAGACTGTTGTGTAATCAATGTTTTGACTTTATGTCCAAAATTTATGTACAAAGTAACTGTCCCACCCGCATGTCATGTACAAAATCAATGACCCGTACACCCCCAATAAAATAAAATAAAATAAAATAAAAATAAATTAAAATAAAATAAAAACGTTAATCATAATTCATTAAAATAAAAAATGTACAAATCATAATTCATTAATATTTTTATGTACAAGCAAATGACCCCTGAGTTTATCTCTGTTATAACTACCGAGTCACACGGGGAATGTTCAGTCATACATTACTACTCATTCTTGGGACAGTATTGTATTAGATTTCTGTAGAGATAATATATGAAATCGGACTTACATTTTTGCGATTTGTACTGAACTCTTTCAAATTGATAAACGTCTCCTACTCGGGTCATATGCTCCTGCACGGTTTGTTATGGTGTGTATTTCATTGTATTCACGGACATACCAGGAATGTTCTCATGTTTACTTATTCCGAGGTTTATTCCGAGGTGTGGGCAGTTCTTGTCCACAGGCGGAGGATGTTATGAGGTCCAAAATGCAAAGTAGACCGAACCCATTATTGAGAGTTGCAGATATTACGCTCTTTATCTCTTGATTTACCACCAAGCATCACGAAATGACCGCAATTCTTAATAATGGGTTTGTTATACATTCGTGTTCAAAAGATGCATTGTTTACCTTCTAACAATACATTCATCTTCTCGTGAATACCTGGCATCGTTACCATACGACAGTTGTTCCTAAACACTATGCAGTCTGAGTATAACCTTTGACTTGTCAAGGTTGAGGTGTCTGTGGAAGGGGAATATGTTTTCTGGGTTTTCGTTTGCACTGACTTTTCAGATTAAGCCGCTGTTTTTGTGCACCTCGTGCCGATTCGGTATTCACCTGGTCTTCAGTAACCTATGATTATCGTATTACTATGAAGACGCGACTGAATGAAACGGGTGGTCGGACTCGATTTTTCTATGTTAATTTCTTCGTTTAATGCACTGTGTATAAATCTATAGAATTTTCGATTTTTGCAGAAAACTTTTTGACATCAGTGTTGCAAGCATTTTATTATATAACCGTTTTTGTTGAAATTTTAAACTGATGACTTCATGTCCATCTGAGGTACCGTACTACGTCTCTTTCCTCAAAGTTTCAGGTTAAACCACGGAACTGTTTTATTTAACTCATTACAAATGGTGTTAACGGAGAAATAAATTTGGTAAAGGAAATTACCTACATTGTCAAAGTCGTGTAAGAAGGCATCATGACCAAAGAGGAAGGGAATTTAAAGTGACACGAGGCATCATGTCCTAAGTGGACGTGAATGTAAAGAGGCATTTGGACTTTTTCTTGATAAGCTTTTGGGATTTTTATTGGATCCCAGCATGTATGCATGCAAGTAGTTTTATGGGTCAAGCTCGGTGATTGGTTGATGTCGTGTCATCGTTCACATCTGCGTGGTTCGTTGTTCAAAGTGTCACCTACGTTACTGACTCGAGTACTGACAAGTCACTGTCACTGCAATGTTCTTGCGTGAAACGTTTCACAAACAACAAACAAACAAGCAACTGAAATGTGTACCTGTTTGCATCTAGTTTATTTCACATGAACACAACAGCACAGGTGATACGACAAAAACAAATTCAATATGATTGTGCTTTTTGCAATGTTAATCCTGACGAAAACATATTGGGTTTTCAGTTTAAGAAAGCACCCCGATTCTTTGGAAATAATACGTATTATATCTAGTCTTATAGGTTGCTGTGTGATAAATATCAATTAAGTTTTCTTCATAATTATTTTACTTAGTATATGAAGCGACAAATCAGCAAATGGCATATATATACACAGATGTCCATTGTGTGTCGCGGTTCCGGGAAGGCTGCAGCAATGGAACGGGTGTAGAACATTTCTACCAGATGTACCAGCATCTGAAATACTCAGCAAGTACCGATATGGTTCTGGAACACAACATGAAATCAAATGTCAACATACATCATGTTCCGGTTAATCTCTTGAAGATGATATAAAACAAACGTGACTGGTTGGGCGGACCACTTTTTCTCCGATGGAATCACACACCCAATAACGAAAAAGGAATGAACAGTTAAGGGATCGGTTCCATAACGTATCTAATCTCATAGAAGCTCTAATACAGTTATCGTAATGGTCGTAGGTGTCATTGGTGAACGTACTGCAAACGACTTTGCTCACAGCAGTTAAAGATGTTCCAACCACAACCACGCTCTCGGTTCCAACTTCAGACACGCATTTGAGTGCTGGTAATCGCTGAGTCTACATGGGTGTGTGAGTGAGTGAGTAAGGTCTTACTCCACTTTCAGCAATATTCCAGCAATAGCACGGCTGCGGAAACCAGAAATGGGCTAAACACATTGTACCCATGTGGGGACTCAAACCCGGGACGTTTCAACCAGTCGGCTTCCCCCCACCGCTCCCGAGTCTAAATGGACCTGATATACCAGCATATACTGGGTGTGTCCATACCTATACTAATGTTATTGCATGTACATCTAATCACTAATCAATAAAGTTCATTAACTTCAGTAATTATTTCATATTTTTTTGTAAAGTGAAATCGTTACACTGGTGTGATACCGTCTACGTGAGGAAAGTGGGGAAAACTTTAAACAACCCATCCAAGGATGGTTCTCGGGCCAAAGGAATGGCGCCTTTCTGAAACATAGCGGCACTTGCAAGACGTATGTTTTATACAGAACATTCCGATTAAACATGATTGTGACATGAAAGAAAAGGTGAAAAATGATGTTCAACTTTGTCTCTGCTTTATAGTGCAAACTTAACGCGAGGAACCCATTTCTAGTCTTTTATCGTGTACAACGAAACTCACTTACGTTTGATACGACTAGTTTTAACACACTAGAAGGAATCTCTTGCGCTCTATGCTACTTTCACATGCCCGAGTACGTAACACTCTCGCTCTCTATACTACTTACACAGGACCCAGTACGTATCACTCTCGCTCTCTATGCTACTTACACAGGGCCCAGTACGTATCACTCTCACTCTCTATACTTACATTTACGTTTGATACGACTAGTTTTAACACACTAGAAGGAATCTCTTGTGCTCTCTATGCTACTTTCACATGCCCGAGTACGTAACACTCTCGCTCTCTATACTACTTCCACAGGACCCAGTACGTATCACTCTCGCTCTCTATGCTACTTAAACAGGACCTAGTACGTATGACTCTCGGTCTCTATACTACTTACACTGGGCCCATTACGTATCACTCTCACTCCCTATACTACTTACACAGGACCCAGTACGTCTGTATCGCTCTCTATGCTATTTACACAGGGCCCAGTACGTATCACTCTCGCTCTCTATGCTGTTTACACAGGGCCCAGTACGTATCACTCTCGCTCTCTATGCTACTTACACAGAGTCCAGTACGTATCACTCTCGCTCTCTATGCTACTTACACAGGACCCAGTACGTCTGTATCGCTCTCTATGCTACTTACACAGGGTCCAGTACGTATCACTCTCGCTATCTATGCTACTTACACAGGGTCCAGTACGTTTGTATCGCTCTCTATGCTATTTACACAGGGCCCAGTACGTATCACTATCGCTCTCTATGCTACTTACACAGAGTCCAGTACGTATCACTCTCGCTCTCTATGCTACTTACACAGGGCCCAGTACGTCTGTATCGCTCTCTATGCTATTTACACAGAGTCCAGTACGTATCACTCTCGCTATCTATGCTACTTACACAGGACCCAGTACGTCTGTATCGCTCTCTATGCTACTTACACAGGGCCCAGTACGTATCACTCTCGCTCTCTATGCTACTTACACACAGGGTCCACAGGGTCCAGTCCAGTACGTATCACTCTCGCTATCTATGCTACTTACACAGGGCCCAGTACGTATCTGTATCGCTCTCTATGCTACTTACACAGGGTCCAGTACGTATCACTATCGCTCTCTATGCTACTTACACAGGGCCCAGTACGTATCACTCTCGCTCTCTATGCTACTTACACAGGGTCCAGTACGTATCACTCTCGCTCTCTATACTACTTACACAGGGCCCAGTACGTCTGTATCGCTCTCTATGCTATTTACACAGGGTCCAGTACGTATCACTCTCGCTATCTATGCTACTTACACAGGACCCAGTACGTCTGTATCGCTCTCTATGCTATTTACACAGGGCCCAGTACGTATCACTCTCGCTCTCTATGCTACTTACACAGGGCCCAGTACGTATCACTCTCGCTCTCTATGCTACTTACACACAGGGTATCACAGTACGTATCACTCTCGCTGTATCGCTCTCTATGCTACTTACACAGGGCCCAGCTATCTATGCTACTTACACAGGGCCCAGTACGTATCGCTCTCTATGCTATTTACACAGGGTCAAGTACAGGGTATCATCTCTCGCTCTCTATGCTACTTACACACAGGGTCCAGTACGTATCACTCTCGCTATCTATGCTACTTACACAGGACCCGGTACGTCTGTATCGCTCTCTATGCTATTTACACACAGGGCCCAGTACGTATCACTCTCGCTCTCTATGCTACTTACACAGAGTCCAGTACGTATCACTCTCGCTCTCTATGCTACTTACACAGGGTCCAGTACGTATCACTCTCGCTCTCTATGCTACTTACACAGGGCCCAGAACGTATCACTCTCGCTCCTGACACTAGCTGCGTTGATGACGTGTTGGTTCTCGTATTTGTATCTGAGGATGCGATCATGAGGGGGTCTGTATCCGCGTCCCATCCATATCTCATCTCCGCACCAGGAGATCCAAAAGTAGTTGAAGAAGCGGCAGTTGAGACTCTTGTCCTTCACCCATTCGTCGAACTTACACCCAACACATTTCCGTATTCCTGACCGGGTGTTCTTCATCCCTCCAATGACGACCTGACGATGGAAATGTATGATTTGAGGATATATCGACCTGAGCGGCAGGACCTGAGGGATATTTAGAGCTTGCCAGGGCTGAAGACAAACTACTAAATGACTTTTCGAAAACTTAACATTATGTCAAGAGAGACAGTTAGAAACATTAGGAAATCACTGTACGGTTAATGGTTTCTTGGAACAGAACATGTAGGTTCATTGTAGCCCAAAGTAGCTTTCAATTTGATTTAGGACAGATAGGGAAAGCACATTTCCAAGTTTCCTTGGCTAAAATATTTCCTTCTTTCTATTTGTCCCCCATGTTTCAAGTGAACATTTTACTTGGCGCTTCAGGTATTTGTTCGGGTGGCATAGATGGGGCAGTGTACGCAGAATATGATATGGTTGAAATCGTACGATAGACGAATGACTTTAAGATGAAATTTCATCTGGTTATGGAAAAGTTGTTTCGCGTACATTTGTAAGAGACAGGTAGTAAGGATATGATGGCAATATTAATTAGGATTTATGATTAATTGGTTTGTTGTGTGTCACTTGAGTGAGTGCGTTTAGTTTTACGCCGTGTTTAGCAATATTCCAGCAATATCACGGCAGTGGACACCAGAAATGGCCTTCACACATTGTACCCATGTGGGGACTCGAAACAGGTTCCTCATCGTGACGAGCGAACGCTTTAACCACTGGGCTACCGTGTGTCACTTGACTCACTCCCATGGGTATTCATGCTTAGAATAGGGCCTTCAATAGAATGTTGAATGAAGGAAGCCATCAACATGAGTGTTTGGACTCTTTGACTTGAAGTTTGACTTTGACTCTTGAAGACAACCTGAGGACGATCATTTAAACGTTGTTCAATCCATGGTGATGTACAGGCCTCTATCATGTAAGCTCAATATACTTGTAGAAACGAATAAGGGACCACTGAAAGTACAAGTGTTTCTTTATTCTTTTCCAGGTTTCTTCACAAGGTGTGTATGGCACTGTGAGTGAAATTCTGGAAATAAATAAAGGAGCACTTGTACTTTCATGTGTTCCCTTATTCGTTTCTATGAGTATATTTTATCAATCATTAGAGAAATATAAACCTGAACAAAACAAATGACAACAACAGAAAAACACCCCAAACAACAAACAAACAAACAAACTGCGTGCCTCCACAGCGTGGCTCCACGAACCGTTATTGATAGATCGCCTTGATACAACTGAATATTTGTGAATTCAAAAAGTTTAAACATGTCGCTTCTCAATTTGGCCCAATTTCCAAATGTCACCAACCTCTACTAAAACTGACCTATCGCAGAAACGTAGGGTTTTGTTGATATTCCTCTGTTTTGGCCACATCAGAACATTTCACTGTTATGTAACTTCCTCCATATGAGGTTCGGGACCGCCTAGTGGTGAAGTGGTTAGAGCGTCCGCCCGGAGAGTGGAAGATCGTGGGTTCGATCCCCGACCGCGTCATATCAAAAGACGTTAAAATATGGTACTTGTTGGTCCCTGTCTGGCGCTCGGCATTAATGGGTACAACAAGGACTGGTCGGCTCGGAGTCAGTATAATGTGTCTGAGTTGGGTATTCATGCTTAACTGCGGCATGGTATCTCAGTGAGCTTGCACTATAAAACCAGCTAAAGTCTTGGCTGGTACAAGCAGCCGCACGTACACATACACACTCATGCACGTCGTCATGTGAGCGAAATATTCTTAAGTACGACGTTAAACCTCATTTCACCTCACCCACCTCACCATATGGGGTTCGGAATTTCTCACCCAGGACCACATAGCGGTCTTAGGGGACGATGGTCACAACTCTCACACTCAATCTTAATCTAAAGATGGTCTCAGCGCTAGGATGGCGTTGTGGACCCAGTACGAAGCGTTCTTAGACCTAAGGTAACGTCCATACCTTAAGCCAGACCCAGCACTAAGGTTGTTTTGTACAACGGCACACAAGCCTCGACATGTACGCCATGCTTATTAGCGTTATGGAAAGGCTATCTTCCCATCAACTCACTGACGTTGAGGTCTGTGACCTCACAGTTATACAATGACACTGTCCCGATGTCATGGTGTCCGCCACTAGTCTGTCGACCCGTGATGATCCGGGTTAGAATAAGTCTTCAGCAACCCAAGCTTGTCGTGAGAGGCGACTAACGGGATCGGGTGGTTAGGCCCTCTGACTTGGTTGACACATGTCATCGTATCCCAATTGCATAGATTGATGCTCATAATGTTAATCACTGGATTGTCTGGTCCAGACTCGATTATTTACAGACCGCTGTCACATACCTGGAATATTGCTGAGTGCAGTGTAGACAACACACAAACAACATTCACTAGTCCACTGCAGAGACAGAGCTGGACTCTCACTGGTCACGGCATAAAACAAGATTCATATCAGACAATTCAGTAATTTTACCTCATAAACAGAATTCTTGAAGTCCTCGGCATTGTTCTGGAGTAAAATATGAGCTCCAAAACAGGATCTGGCGGCGAAAATGAGAACTTTGGAGTCATTAACATTAAGTCCAACTTCGCCAAGCGGCACCCATGCTCTGTACTCTGGTGTTCTGATAGGGATGAGGTCCCCGCCTCCTGCTATCTTACACTGTAGACTGGACACTGTAACGTAGAATACTGATGTAGGTAGGCGTATAGGATAGGTACACTGACTATTAACATAATTTGGTATCTCGGGGCAGGATTGTTTGAAAAATACGTCACCAGAAAATACTAAATTTGCCTCCTATTTAAAAAAGAAATATTTTTTCTTGGACATTCTCACTTCCACAAATAGCCACAAAACTGCGGTCGTGCAGTAACCGAAGACCTTTTTTGCACGTAGCAGAAATGCATTGACTTGATTTAATAATATGTAGATTCCAGGTTTCAAAGGAAAATCGGAATGATTCAAACAATTTGATGTCTTCCGATCAGCGAACATTCACATTCTCAACGGGTATCAGCTGACACAAGAATCAAACTACTTATTTGACAACCGTGTCATCGCATACATTCTAATATTCACAGAAATATACATTTGCGGACATTCATAGTCGTTAGACTGTTTGAAGTCATGATATTAGCAATAGTAAATGTACGCTTCATTGTGAAGATACGGACATCTGAGATATTGGAGGTTTATGGATACCTGGTGTTGTTTGAGATACTGTTTGTGTCAGTAGAATGTCAAGGACAAATTCGTGAGATGCAAATATTTCTGTAGCAGCCTTCAGACAGTGACACCGACTAAACACTTAAGGATTTGAGTGAGTGAGTTAAGATTTTAAGTCCCATCGGCAATATTTCAGCCATGTAGTGACTAAAAACAAGTTATAATTTCACAATAAATAACCCTGTCAACGAAGGACAGTAAAATAACTAGTTTATCACAGATTTCAATTTACAACTAGTAATGAACTCTAAAACATTTGAACTTTATACGACAATACAATATATAAAACAGGCTAGAGATTGCGAACAGCTGAGGGTAGACCATCCTACTAGGGACCAGGGGGAATTACAGTACATTTGCTTCCTGCATGAACCCAGCTGGATTTACACCATCGCTGCAGCTGTCAGCGAGTTTAGACAATTAAGCCATAATATTAAAATAACATATATTTTCTACGGTTAAAAATAATGGTATGTTTAAATTTACTTTGAATGTTTTGGTACTTATGTACCCTCACAGGAGGACCTTCAGGGTTTGAGCCCTCAAATGGGGTTAAAGTATTGGAAAAGTATTATCCTCCTGAGAGGGAACGTAAGTCCCGAAACATTCAAAGTAAATTTAAACTTTCCAGATTCTTTAAATGTAGTATTTTTGTGATTTTAATTTATGGCTAAATTCGACTACAATCGCCAGCGGCTGAAGGGATGATATAAGTCCAGCTAGGGTCTCGAAGTGAAAGTATGGCCCCTGTGGATTTGTAATGTCGTTATTTTTCCGCGGTTGTGTCGAACCTCGGATAACTCGAAGTATCTAGGCAGCTTCGACAGGGGCGGTGGGGTAGCCTAGTGGTTAAAGTGTCTCGCTCGTCACGCCAAAGGCCCGGGTTCGATTCACCACATGGGTACAATGTGTGAAGCCCATTTCTGGTGTTTCCCCGACTTGATATTGCTGGAATATTGCTAAAAGCGGCGTGAAAGTCACTCTCTCACTCACACAGCTTCGACACAAAGGTGTTTGATTGTTTTTCCAACTTATTCGTTCCGTTACCGTTTCCAGATTTGAATATTTACAAGCACCACCACTGCTGTTGCATAATCCTGACAATCACACGTTACCCGTGGACATCCGGGTTAGAACTGGTCTTCAGAAACACATGCCTGTCGAGCGACTAACGAAATCCGGTGGTTCAGCGCAGATCGATGGTCATTGTCTCAATCACAAGACTGTCTGGACCAAACTCCTTTTATTACAGTTATTTGTTTGATTGTTGTTTAACGCCGCACTCAGAAATATTCCAGATATATGTCGGCGGTCTGTTAATAATCGAGTCTGGACCAGACAATCCAGTGATCAGCATCATGAGCATCGATCTACGCAATTGGGATACGATGACATGTTTCAATCAAGTCAGCGAGCCTGACCATCCGATCCCGTTAGTCGCCTCTTACGACCCTAACGACGCTACCAAAGACCAATTCTAGCTCTGACCATCACGGGTCCCTTTTATTAAGACCGCAGGTGGTTAGTTAGAATATTGCTGTCTGCGGCCTTAAACAATAAACAAACATATATAAGTAACGGTACCAATGTTAAGATAGTTAATTAACATAATTAAGATAAAATCCTTACCTTGTGTGCTCACATACACACTACATAGAGAAACAACGCCCAGCACTTTGTACAACATGACTGCTCAGTATGGAAAGACGACTTGTTGCTCAGACACAATCTTCATATGACACTTTTATTATCGTCACGAGGACGTGAGGTGTTTTAGACCTACCTGTCATTAACATGCACGCACAGGTACGTCATGAGACGAAGAATCACGCCATTAAAATACTAATACATTAACATGAGTTAACTATGTAAATTGTGATTGGGATTTGTGGCATATGTTTATTTACGTCATTAATATTCGGCTTCAAAGAGCACCATGCGGTTTTGACACGTGACGTTAGTGAGTGTGTTCGTTGGGTCTGGTGACACTTCGTGGTTGTTTCCTGTTGGATGAGGTTTTGTACATGTCAGAGTTATGAAGGTGAATCGTGACATATGTTGATAGCACCGTTTGTTATTTTAGTTATGATGTTTTTGCTTGTTTGTTCAACGACAATACTCCCAGCAATATTCTTGTAAAATGACTGCGTTATGTAGATCGAGTGAGTGAGTGAGTTATTATTTAACGTCACATCGGCAATATTTCAGCCATATCGTGACGAGAACACTTGACATTGAAATAGAATATATATAGAGATTATAAAACCTGCCGACAAAGGACAGTAAAGCAACTAGAGTATCACAGATATATATGTAAAACTAGTAGTTGAATCTAAAACATTTTAACTATAGGGGGCAACACAATATAAAAATGGTTTATAGATCGCCAACAACTGAAGGTAGATCACCATACTAGGAGCCATGGGGACTTACATTACTTTTACTACCTGCATGGTATGTAGATCGAATCTGGACCAGGAAATCCAGAGATTCACATCATCGATCTACGCTGTTCGGATACCATGACAACTATGTCAACGACCCTGACCACCCATTTGTAGCCTTTTACGGTACCATGGGTAGTCGTAACTTGAACCCGATCTTCATGTTCTAAAGAGGATTCCTGGATGCAGATGGTTCCAGTAACCATGCTGTTGAGATTCAGAGGAAGAATTCTCAGTATCCGTAACTTGTCATCGTACGCCGACATTTCTGGATTATATGAATATTGTCGAGTAAGGCGTTAGAAAAGAAAAGAAAATTAATCAAAATATGAAGCTGTAATGTCAAGTATTCCAGCTCAACAATGTTTTACCAAAGTATGTGTATTATATTCAGAGAGGCAATAAGGGAATGACGTGTTTTATAATTATTCTTTATTTGAATAAAGCCATACAAGACGAATGATGTACCCATATTTGCCACACTAGGCGAGTCAATATATGGGAATGTAGATTGGTGACTCGGTCGGTGGCATGTCAATGTATCCCTGCTGCCACCGTTACAGTGTTGAGTGCAGCGTTAACCAACCAACAAGGGTGTAGTAAATATCGTTACACTGAAAAATAGAAAACACTGACATTTCAGTCATATTCGCTCCACTGGAAAGAGTATCAAACACATTGTGAACTAGTGGGCCTCTGAGTACTACATTGCATTCGGGTTTATCATTTGGCGCAACAATTGTGAAAGAGTGAAAGTTGCTTTACGATGTATGAGCTTTTTTTAAAGTTCCTTTTTTCGCGGCATTCACATGCTGACTATAAATTCGACATTAAAGTTGTTTCATATTTTGAGAATTGTAACATTCTTTTGTTTTCTTGTGTATCTTGTCCCCAAATAACGCATTATATAGACATTGTCTAAGACTGTTTGTTCTTACCGTCATTGTTGAAACTGCACGCATGAACCAAACAGCGCACATCCATCTTGTTCATTTGTGTCACGTGTGTATATATAGTGCACTTTGGCCTGGAGTGTGTGCGACATTTTTATTATCTTAGCGACACTGTGGTGTAGCATAACGTATCTGTTATTTTGTCGACCCAGGAAAAGGACATTTCACCGTTTTTAAACTGAAGCGGGTTGGTTACCATTTTCTATTGCGTGTCTCCATAGCAATGCATGTCCTTTCAGTTTCTATTTCAGAACCCAATGTGTTTTGTGTCTTGAATGGAGATGTCGTTGGTCCTCCACAGGAATGCATGCATTTTAGAGGGATTTCTTCGTTATACGCCACACTCAGCTATGTTCCAGCTATATAACAGCGGTCAATAAATAATCATATCTGGTCCATACTGTGCAATTGTCTTTTTTGAATGTAAATATTACGAATGTTGGCGAGAAAAATATTTGGTACAACTTCGAAAAGTGTATAAAGGTCCACTAACTTTAGAATCTATTTTCAAATCAAGAAACAGTCAGGTAATATACTTCACTGCTTTATTTCTGCATAATGTATTCCAAACAAGAGCTGGATCCATTTGACCACTGTACATCGATTTATACTGTATAACTGTATTATAGGCCACTAGGTCGATATTACGCAAATAAACTGTCTGTCTGTCTGTCTAATTGGTACGCTATGACATATATCAACCAAGTCAGCAAGCTTGACCAAAAACCATGCATGTCTTCCACCAGATGAATATGAATTCATTTCACATTTACTCATCTTCTATTCGTGTCGGATGGGTATCGCCTTGAGTAATGAAGTATATTGTGAAATGACAGAAATAAGTTGCCCTTTCAACCATTATAAAATAAACGATAAGAGTGATGAGTTCGTTTTCTTTTGCATCACTTCATCTATGTTCCAGCACTATCGCGACGCGGGACACCAAGACTGGATTCCATGCATTGAAACCACGTAGGGAGTCGAACCCGGGTTTCCTGCGTGAGGTTACTGTCACCGCAAGGGTAACCCACTAAGTATCTATAAGTGTCATCGCAAGGAGGTAACCAGTCTCGATTATCCGTCGAGACAGATTCCACTAGGAGTAAAAAGAACAATAGCAGGCAATATAATATGAATGAACGCCAAAACTAAGAAACCATTCCCCAATAACGATAATAATGTCATTATTATATGCCACATTTCTATAGCGCCCTATTTGAACTACTTCTAGATCACTCCATGGCGCTTCATAAGTTGTTTTTCCCTCGATCATTGATGTCAATCTCAAACGGCACATTGTATTATCATTCCCAACTGCATGGAGATCATACACCTCTTGCAGCCACTAGGCTCACCGAGTTAATGTGGTTTTCCGATCATTTACGAGATACCCATACACAGCTTGGTGGATCGGGACACACAGTCACAGTACATCGTCTAAGTTTACTGCACGTATTCGTGTGGCCACCATCTGGTCATTTACCGTGCACAGGGTTGTGTACTGTACAATAGAGGTTGTGAAAGTGTCTGCACACAAAGTTGACACCCGGTCACAGGTGGGCTCGATCCCGGGCACCTCAAACTAGCTGGATCACTAGCCTGGCGCCTTAGACAGCTCACCCACCACGCCCCACAATATGCCAGTGAAGGATGTATGAACATATAAAACGTAAGTCCTGTCCTTAGAAACAGGTTCCTTGTTGTGTGAAGCTGTGAAAATTACATGAAAAAATCACTCAATTATGCAGTTTACGTATTTTGCCTTAAAAAGTCTGACGCCACACAGCAGTATCCTCCCTTGCGACGACGCCTGTCAACCAACCAGACAATCAAGTCATCGAAGGATCTGAGAATTTTGTATTACAACTACTGTGTGAACGTGCCAATGTTTATAAGTAAATTGAAACGTTTCGGAACAAAAACAAAACAACAGCAACAACAACAACAACAATAACAAAACATCCAAAAAACAAATTAAAAAACAAACAAAACAAAAACCCAAACAAACAAAAGAAACCAACATAAAAAACAAACAATTAACTACAACAAAAATGCCAGATAAACAAGGAAAGACCTAAGTTCCACGGGCTGGAAAAGTGCGGAGACAATTACCTGAGTGATTTATCTTGCTGTAGTATGGGCTAATTCACCACTCCGTCGCTTGACGTAATTAGATCGTGACGAGCCGTTCGGCCCCAGGTGACAACAGATACCCATCAGCTACTTCAAGTACAGGACACCCAGGGGTATTGGGTGGTCACACTCAGTGAAGTTGTAGGTTGCATGTTCTCAAATTCTCACGGTATTTATATTCTATCTGGAAAATCTGGTCCTAATTATTTACAGACAGACTTCATATAGCAGGCATATCATTACATACCGCATACATAAATACCAACAATAAAAGATGTTTTCTTTTAGGCCTGTGATCCTGGTTGGAGTGCCAACATGGGCACACTATGAAATTTCTTTAGTACCCCCTACAGTGTGTTTACAGGGTGTATCTGCACTCACGACAGTAAAACCCACTCCCAGAATATATTGATTTTTTTTCTGTTTGCTGAACGTCTATTTAAGTGTTTTGTTTAAACAGCGGTAGAGGCTCCCTGCCCCTGTAATGTAAAGAGAACAAGTACTTACCTGGGGCGTTCCCATCTAATACAGATAAGAAGTATTCGTGTTACGTGACTAACAGCCCATGATTATACAGGTATCCACTCAGTATACAATACTGATAAAATATTGCAATCATATCCAATTATATCTAATTATCCAGTCATATCAAACCGTGAAGACCAGGGTTAGACTTGGTCTTCAGTAACCCATGCTTGTCACAAGAGGCGACTAACGGGATCGGGTGGTCAGGCCACAGGCCCTCGTGTCTTTGCGAAGATTAAAGATTAAGAAAAATATTTTTTTGAGATGACCCCGACTCGAATTTCGAAATGCTGCACAGTACAATACATTATGACAAGGCCGGACACTTCGGTGTACCCCACCCGCCCGCAACTAAACGATCTTGACACAAATGGATGACGATATGTCCGGACAAAATGGGGATGTGGTCAAAGCAAGCCCTCTGATTGGTAAACGCTTGCAAATCTGCACATTCTTTGTAAATTCGCTGGAATTTTCCCTTTCACCGACTGTTTAATGTCAGAATATTTTTCGAGCAATGACTTCTCAAAACAAAGTATCAGTTGTAAATGTCTAAACCTCCTTAACAAGCATTAACCAACCAGAGGGCTTGCTTTCACCACATCCCCATTTTGTCCGGACATATCGTCATCCATTTGTGTCAAGATCGTTTAGTTGAGGGTCAAAATCGGGTTTCAATCGACTTTCAGAAATAACAATAACGAATTGGTAGGTGTCATTAGTGGTGA